CATAAAAAAGGTTGGAGACCGCTGTATTATATAATGCTTGATATTCTGCTGTGTCAGCTGTTGTTGGATGATCAGACTGTGGTTTGTTGTACTCTGCTGAGCGTAAAGAGTAGATTAGATGAAAGTTTATTAATCCCTCAGGTGGGTGGAAATGTAGTTTCCAGCAGCACAGCACTGACAGAAGTTGCATGTTACAGATGCAATAAAGGGGAATGAGAGTAAGGATTTAAGCATAAATATACCATATATACATATAACACATATATAAATGCAGAATATATAATATGGATAAATGGGAATACCAGTGGATTCCACATTTGAGTGAGTCGCAATGAAAAGGCACTACAGCTCAGTTGTTCCCGCCCTGTATCCCCTCGCTTTCCCCTCCAGAGAGGAGTTCAACAGTTTGATGATGTGGGACAAAGGAGTTTTTCAACCACCAACTGGTCAAACATCCTCAGGAGCTTCCTGCAGATGTTAAAAGACCTCAGCCTCTGTTGGAGGTTGAAGACTCGTAGCGGCTCTCCAAGTTCAGCAGCACACGCCTTTAGCATCCTAGGACACACCACGCGAAAAATAAAAACTCATTCTGTTGAGTGAATACTATTAGTCAACATTTTAAACATGATTAGCAAGTAATGATACTAAGACTTATGTGTTTCTTTTGTTTTACCATTTCAATCATGCTGCGGTCAGCGTCAGCATCTAACATGGAGCAAACAGCGCAGTAGTCCTCAGCGTTCCCTGAAACACAGTCATAGGTTTTAATCGAACATTATTTATTGAATAATTAAAAAATAACACTTCATGGAAAATTAGGCTCCTGAATTTTTTAGACTTTGAGAAGGGTCTTATCTGAAAGTGTTTGAAGAGCACTATTTAAATTGGAAGTGCGCACTCTAACGTGATAAGGACTTTACTGAACTTACCTCCATTTTCAAGTAAGGTGCACTGTTAAAAAAAAAACGGTAATATTCCGGCAGCCGGGGCGCCAAAATACAACCGTAAAATAACAGAAAATACCTCCCGCATAAAAATACGGTTAGTGATGTTATGTTATTTTACCTTTGACATGTAAAATCAGTCTACTTATGTACATTTAATGATATTTTAGAACGACAGTACAAAACTGTAAAATATACAATCAGAATACTTTACTCAGTGTGAACGCACTGTGTTTTCCCTCTAACAGCCCCCACATGTTCTCACTCTACTTTCCCCTCATGAATGAATTTATGCTGCACTACTTTGAATGTTCGGGGAAATCAAACGCATTTCACTCGCAGTACTCGAGCTGACTTACCTTTGTTTGAATGACGGCGTATTGACAACGTGGAGTCTAATAATTGCCAAATCTTGTACCCGATCCTTGGTGGATGTGCGCCTCCAGAGATTTATAATGGCAAAATTGGTTCGCCGTGTACGCGCTGACTCCACAGACAAGGAACAAGAATAGATCAGGCTAAGCTAAGTCAATAGCGGTTCAGGGTTTCTACTCCACAGCTGTGTTTCATACGGGTCCACACTTCCAATGCAATCTTCCTCCATAACGTCCTTTTTCTTTTGAGCTGCTTTGAAGTATGGTTCATAGCAATCTTCCTTCCAACACAGTGTGTTTGTTTTGATTCGCAACCTGCTAAAACGGTGGCGTGCTCCCACAATGCATTGCGGCGTGACCTGGGCCAGCTTCACCTGGGCCAGCTTCACCTGTTCTTGCTCGTCTTCATCACTTCACTGCTGCAGAGTTCACAGCTCTAAAACCTCACAGTCAGAGGCCAATTCTCAGAGTCTTTAAAGTGCACCCCACCTCCTCCTGCTCCTCCTAGCCCCCCATCCTGTGAGGTATCAGGTTGTGCTGCACCCTCCTTCCTCCTCATCCTCAGTCCTGTGGTCTGCTACGATGCTGACGTGGTCGCAGTGCTCAGAGGGCAGCGAGACTGGGTAGATGAAGGGGTTGAAAGGCAGGACACACACCTCTTTAAAGTGTGGCGGCAGCACGACTTCTGGGAACAGGAACTTGGAGATTTGTTTCCAGTAGACCACCAGAGTCACCACCAGAGCCACCACCGTGGCCATGACCACAAACGCCACCACGGCCGCCACCCACGGAGTTGCATCCACTGTAAGAAAACCACACAGCAGCAGGTGAGCCCATCAGCAACACCTTGAGCGATTGTGACGGCTGTCTGACGGCGGTGCCTACCGTCACCGGTGCGCTCACAGACGACGTCGCTGTACTCGCCCGGTCTGGGGTTCATGTTATAGATGATCTGGACTTGGACGCAGTATTCGCTCAGCGGGTCCAGGTCACTAAGAACCGCTCGGTCCTCCCTCGTTTCAAGGATCTTTTTTACCTGTAGGAGGCAGCAGAGAGGAGGTCAGAGGTCTTCAGTATCTGTTTTTATTCTTTGACCCAATACAGATCAAAAGTTTAAAACCAGTTTAAAATTAGCAAAAATCATATTTTGCATGCTGGAGCTTAACAAGGTTCCAAGTAGAGCTTCAACATGCAACAAGAAGAAATGTGACACAAAACAACGCTTAAACTGAAACAGGCTGTTTTACAGCTCATCAAAAGTTTAGGACCACACCTCAAAAAAGGTAAACCCAAATATGAAGTCAGTAATGAGGAGCTCCACTCTTATTGTTGATCACTTCAAAGACTCGTTGCGGCTTGCTTTATGCCAGCGTTTCCATGAGGTGAGTGGGAACATTTCTCCAAGTGGTGAAGACGGCCGCATGAAGGACATCTACTGTCTGAAGCTGTTCTCCATTTCTGTAAACTTCCCTTGCCATCCATCCCCAAAGGTTTTCAGTTGGATTTAGATCAGGGAAACACGCAGAATGGTCCAGAAGAGTGATGTTTTTCTCCTGGAAGAAGTCCTTTGTCCTGCATTGTGTACTGTAACGTTATCCTACTGAAAAACCCAGTGGTTACCACACAGACGAGGGCTCTCAGCAATGAGGGATGTTCTCTGCAACATCTGCACACAGCCATCGGCTCCTGAAGCTCCGTTGTTCCACTAAAGCAGGGGTGTCCAAACTTTTTTCACTGAGGGCCACATACATAAAAATATAGGAGGGGCGGGGCCACTTACTAGAAATTAGAAATATAACCTTAACTTTAGTGTATTAAAGTTAGAAAAATCACTTAGAAGTGGTCGAATATGTTATATTGTTGAATATAATTAAAGACAAAACTGCCTTCATCACAGCTTTCCATAAATGGATCTTTATTGATTTATTCAGAAAAAGCTTTGGTAGCTCGTTCTCACAACAGCCTCGGATTTATTCTTAGAAGATTTACAGCACAGAGAAAAAACAATAAAGATGTGACAGGTACATTTCAAGCTTGTTATTTAAGTTATTGGGCTCGAGCCCAATAACTTAAATAACAAGCTAACAGATGTGTTGCTGATCAGCAACACATCTGTTAACATCTGTTTGAAACGATTATCAACATTAACAGACTGAACTGGGCTTAATAACAGGAGTGCATGATTTTAGTAAATTATTCTGGTGATGTCACTTGATCAAGGAGCAGCTCTGCGTCAGATGAGATCAGCTGACTACATGTGCGTGCGCTGTGCACAGCGGTGTGCTCTGTGTGTTAACAAGAAAAACGCACATAAGAAAGTGGTGCGCAAAAGCAGGGTAGTGACAGAAAGATGCGCATTATTGATATTTGAAGCATGTGCACCTAACACACGGGTACTGTGGGATATATTTTTAAAGCGCTCGTGCTCTCGTCCACTCCCCGCAAAAAAAATTAGATTAGCAGCTGTGCGGCGTCTGTGGCGTCGGTGCTCTCATCGCCTGCGATGGAGTCAAAATCAAAAGCGCAGCTTTATCAGACAGGTGCAGTTTAATGTTGGCTGACGAGTCTTCAGTGCGTCGCACGACTGGATTTCTGGACACGCTGACGTTGAAGTTCTGCACTTTTTCCACATTATTTCGGTGACTTTAACGAGGCCGTGTTTTATGAGGTCTCCATCTGAAAAAGGCTCGCCATGTCTCGCGATGAGTTGGGCGACCTCATAGCTGGCTCTCGGAGCCTTTTCCTGGACCTGTTGAGCACGAAATAAATACTGTTGCTGACCCTGCAGGAGAGCTAATGTCTGCTCTGGCTCAGCACCAGATGCACAGGCCTGATGTTTGGTTTCATAATGACGTCGTACATTATCCTCTTTCATAACTGCCACAGTCTCAGTGCAGATCAAACAGACACACTTCTCCTTGAATTCCTTGATGAATTCACTCTCCCACCATGTCTGAAATTTTCTGCACTCACTTTTCTACTTTTCGCTTCTTTGGTTCTGCCATGTTTAGTAACTTGGGGTAAATTTCTTCTGTGATTGTCCTTTTTGGTGGAGCAACTGCCTTGATCAACAGCAGCTCCCCCTGGTGTTAAAAATAAGAAGTGCAATACACTCAGGCAAAAGTTGAAGTGCGGCCATATTCTATTCTATTTATAAAATTACTTGCGGGCCAATTAAAAATGGATCGCGGGCCACAGTTGGCCTGCGGGCCAGAGTTTGGACACCCCTGCACTAAAGGAAAAAGACCCCAGAGCATTATGGTGCCCCCTCCACTGTGGGGCGTAGAAAACATCTCAGGTGGGATCTACTTGTCATGGCAGTAATGTTGGAAACCATCAAGGTTACATTTGTTCTCATCAGAGAATAAAACTTTCTTCCACTTTTCAACGTCCCATGTTTGGTCCAAACGGTCAGTTCTGTTGTGTCCAAGGCGACGAGGCCTTTGAAGACGTGTTTTGTTTTTGAAGCCCTTCAGTCTCAGATGCCGTCTGGTGGTTATGGGGCTGCAGTCGCCACCAGTAACGGCCTTAATTTGGGTCGAGGATCGTCCAGTGTGTTGATGGACAGCCAAGTGGATCCTGCAGCTCAGTGCTGGAGACGTTTCTTTGGGTCTTCCACTTGACTTTTTTGTTCCATAACCCTCAGGATCATTTAAGAATTTATTTAAGATTTAAGAAATTCCAAGTGACTGTCTTACTGCGTCCCACCTCAGCAGCGATGGCGTGCTGCGAGAGACTCTGCCTATGCATTTCAACAACCCGACCACGTTCAACAAGGGAAAGTCTTTTTGCCTTTGCCATCAGAACATCATGGCAGTGACCACCTGACAGAAAATGAAATGAATCCACATTTTTGCACAGATTTGGCTTTTTAAAGGCATGTGGTCCTAAACTGGTGTAAAACAGCCTGTTTCAGTTCAAGTGTTGTTTTGTGTCACATTTCTTCTTGTTGCATGCTGAAGCTCTACTTGGAACCTTGTTAAGATACCCCTCACACTTTAAGTGCGTAGCTCTAACTACGGTGGCTGCTGTAGGACAAACATGCTTCTATGAGAGATGAAACACATGAAATTTGGACTGTACATCATAACGGTTGTGGCCGTATTCCTGCTACTGTTTGGACCGCGTCCACCTCCAAGCCTGTGGAAGGCTGTCAGTGCTGTTTCCCTCAGCTGTCACTGGTGGGCGAGACGCCGCCACCTTTATTTAATCTGAAAGAGGCTGTGAAGCTCTGTGACAGGAGGCCAGTGCAAGTCAGGGAAGCTCAGCCATGAGTTGTTGAGCTTATGCTTAAGTGTCCTTAGCAATGCTGTTTCTGCTGCTTTTAGCTGGTTTAATGAAACTTTATTGTGCATCTAACATTGTTGCACTCAGACGCTTTGTGAACAAACTCTCGTGTGATATGAGAACGTAATCAAACTGTTTATCAGAGGGAAAGTGTGATTTTAGGACACTGGAGCCTGATATTAGCTGGCATAATGTTAGCTTCTAATAATATTAGAAGCTAAAACTACAAACCGGCGTTCCCACCTCTTCCTTCGAGCTGCTCTTCCAGTAGGTGATGTTATAGGTGGCCGAGGTGTACGTCTCCCTCAGTTCTGACTGCTTGAACACTGGGTCTTTAATGCTGACTTCCAAAGATGTCCCAGTGACATGAAGAGTCACATCAGGTGGACCGATGAAGGCTGAGGGGGACAGATGTGGAGAGACGTTTTTATTGGACAAAATCAAAGCTGCAGCTTCTCTAACAGTCCACTCCATCTGCTACAGCTCTGTCATGCCAGTGTGCTTGGAGCTGGGGAGGTTCCCACCATGACGGCAGACGGTTTCACTGAGGACACAGACAGAAACACAGAAACCAGGATTTCACTCTGACTGGACTGAAGTCAGCGACGGCGAGAGCTCTGAGACGCTGAAAAGCTCGCTCACGGTTTCATTTCTGATCGTCTTCAGCTCAGCGAGGCTCTTCAGACGTCCCCTGCTGAAGCAGTCATTGCATAACTGCAGACTCCCCACACAGCTGCTGCCACAGTCTGAACCGGAGCTGAAGGGGACCATCCTGATCTCAGGAGGCTTCTCTGAAAGCCACCAAATGGTCTCATTCACCAATCCTCAACATGCCGTCAGGCGTACGTTGTATTGGTCTACCTGCAGAGAGCTCTGCTGCACGGTTTGCATATTTGCAGATGTGAGGAAGAACAAACTGACGGCTCAGGTAAGCAAATACCTGCAGTAATGATTCAGACACAGGCGGTTCAGATAACAGGTGAGCTCAGGTCCCAGGATGTGTAATGAACACTACTGATGGTGAGATGAAGCCTTGTGATGAACTGAAGCTTCCATCCAACTGGTCGACTCATGGTTCGAAGCATTGCGATGATTCATTTGCTCTACTGCGCCATCAAGTGGACAATTCAAGTGAAACAGGCTCTGTGATTATAATGATGTGACGAGTAAACCTCTAAATGGAATAAATAAATTGTTTTCATGGTTATTTATCCCGAATATTGTCTCAGGATGTCTGATACAAAAGAGAAAGTGGAAACTATGAGGACAGAGTTTTGGTATGATTGTGTAACTGTGTAATCATGCTTATGTGCATCTGGACAATGACACAAACTAGTGTGTGGCGCTTCACTTTTTAATGAACTGAAAGACAGAAATCAGATTATAGGATCTGTAGTGTTGTTTACTTATATTATGGTGCTTATCATGATATTTATTACTGTGTGCATACTTTATCAGGAGAGATGAGATTAAAAAAAATCTCTTGCTGGTCCCATCGAAGAAGAAATGCTCAAGTAGCTATGTAGCACGTACGTAATCCAATTCCACAACACAGTGATGGTGGAAATCAGCTGTGTTTTGCTGCCCATTTTATTTCGAATCTGGCGCAAACCGGCGAGCCAGTTCCTGAATCAGTCACGTGGTACGGACTGCCCGCGAGGCCTCGAACGTCACTGCATACGTAATCAAAGCAAGCCTCGATACGCGCTTACCAAAACTCCCCCGACATTACCGACACACAGGACACATCACTAGTGAACACCTGCACACTTTCTGTGACTGCTTGGCTGATTCTGGTTCATTTACTGCAGCGATGAGAGCCTCACACATGGACGCACGATTCACAGTCACATATTTGAAGCTGGAGATCTTTATCTCTGCTGAGCGCAGCTCTCGGCTGTTGCACCGATACAGTGCGAAGGCTGTGAGCTCACACGCTGCTGCAGCATGTGCACGTCACACTTCCTGGAAAGCCGAGTACTTACCCTCCTCATAGGGGCAGAACGTCTTCTGCGCCCACTCCGAGTGCCGCCCGTCCACGGTGGCTCGCACCCGGAGCATGAAGTTGCCGATGAATAACAGCTTGAACCGTGTGAGGTCACATGACCGGTGTGACGTCTGGTTGCACGCTGTGATCCAGTTTGGAGTCTTCCTCTTCAGCTGGTGCTTCCTGAGGAGACATGAACATGAGAACACATTAAACCCTTCTGCTCTTTCTTTGTGTTCTGTCTTCGCTCCTCCCCGAATACTCGGCGGGTCTGGAGGGAGAGCTTTCATTCAAATAAAGTCAAATTACAACAGCAACACACCAGCCATGTTTCAGTAAACGTGTCTGTTTCATAGGTCGGGGCTGGGAGGTTAACGCCTGTGGAAGCAGGATGATGGGGACGAGGGAGGAAGACTACGAAGAGGAAGGCTGCTCCACGGCTCTCTGAGGCATGGAGCACACTCTGACTTACACTTAAACTCGTATTAAAATACCAGCGAGGAGTTAAAAGGTCTTTATGTGATCACATGATGGCAGGCCAGGTGGTTAATAAACGTCTCAAATGACTTCCAGTGAAACCAGAGAGGAGAAACACGAGCCGGGACACGAGCTGTAATAATAATAATACATTTTATTTAAAAGCGCCGTTCAAGACACACAAGAACACTTAAGAATACAATAAAATGACAAAATGAAGAGTGACTACCCCATAGACAAAAAGAGAAGAAGAAACAAAACACAAAGACAAAAACAGAAGGGAAGACTGACAGCGCACTTTGTTAGTGTAAGCAGCACAGTAGAAAGGTATGGAAAAGAAACAAGCAAAAACAAACAAATAAAAATAGTAGCAAACACACCCCAGAAAAAAAGAAAGAGGAAGAAAAAAGGAGAAAACGTCAGTCCCCCAAATATTGTTCTTTTAATATGTTGTCATTACTAAATGTGGCTCATTGCTTACATATATTTATAAAAAGCAAATGTAGGAGCTGTGATAACTGTGTCTGATAGAATGAAGAGT